ATCACATACATTTACAGCCCAGAGGAGGGAGACACCAGACACCATGCAAGGCCACATAAGGGTTACATTTGGGAAAAATCATGAATAACCACAGGTATGGGATGCAGGTTTCATAGTATCAAGAGGGTAGAGTACTCGTTGATACTCAGGAGGATGTGATTGGCTTGTCTGAATAACTCCACAGGCTGGCACAGAACTGAAACTTACTTCTCAGGGATGAGGAGGAACTTGACCTGATCTATTTGATTACGCAGGTTCTTCGGCTAGGAAACCTTATTTGTGGGAGCAGAGTAGGGAAGGATACAGTAGGGCTATTTAAATCCCTTTCCGATGCCCTCAGCTATCACAGAAGCCAATAATATTGGGCCTTAATTTTAGGACTTGAACCATAGTGTATTAATGAATCTTAGCTATAGGAAGGGAAGACAAGATATGAGAATAAAGCTATAATTGTTTCTTAAAAGCAGCACTCATTTTAGACAAGAGTCAGAATTTCTGGTGTTTTTGGGTAGCACAATGACCTTGCCTTTGTCTGTACTTAGACAAAATTATTAAGTGGCCCTACTGTGTCTCATTTTATCATGGTCTCAAAGTAGCCTGAGGTTGGTGTTATTTCCAGCAGGGGAATAAAATAACATATTTCTGAGAGCTGGGCCAGTTTCCAAATCTCAGAGGCTGCTCCTTTTACAGTCAAAAGAGCCTGTTGGTGGTGGCAGGCTAAATTAGATGGGTTGGTCAAGGAAAGTTTTCTGGAAGACGGATATCAAAGCTGAGCCTTTAGCACTAATAAGGAGCCATCCACATAGAGAACTGAGGAGAGTACAGACAGGAGAGAGAGGGGGAACATGTGTGGGAGAGCATTCCTATCTGCGGGAAACAGCAAGTGTGAGCAAAGAAACATTTCATACCAAGAGGTGTGATGAAAACTATCAGGAGCATGGCTCTTTGCTTCAGTGCTCTCTAGGGGTTGAATGTGGAGGAGGTACCAGAATCTCAGAACATGGGAAGTAAACTTTTGGAAAGCCTCAAAGGAATCCTGATGCGGTGGTCCTCCAAGACAGATTTCCCCTCACTGCCTCTACCGTTCCCTCACAGATTTAGTTCAATTATATAGACTTTGTATGAAAAGTTCAATAGTAATTGATATTTTAATATGACCCTGTATAACATACAACGAAATTGCTTGTCCAAGAATGTTTCATCAGCATCCAGGGAGATAGATGGGGTTGTTAGCTTGTGAATGTGCTGTCAGTGGCAGAAGATCAATTATCCTAGAGAGAATTTTCTTTCCTCTCTGGAAACTAGACTGTAGTGATTTTTCCAGACCATCTAACATATAACATATTTGAGCGGGGTCTCCATTTCTATTTAATAGTGAAACATTCTAGGATATGGTTTTATCATTCCAACCATCTGTTCATATCCAGTTCATGCATTTGAACACTATTACAATAGTTGTTTTAAGCCACCATTGCTACCAGTTGGGGATTTAACATACCAACACAGGAAAATATTAACAATGATAAACAACTCAGACAGCAGAGAATAAAGGTTACAGGCATGGACTCTGAAGCCAGATAGCTTAGGCTCAAATGACAACCTTATACTTTCTAGCTGTGTCTTTGTGGGTACGTTACTTAGTTTACCAATAAAGTGGGATAATACTAGTACCTACCTCAATGGTTTATTGGGAAGAATAAAATATATAGTAATTTCTTAGACCCAGCATAGGATAACGTTATGTAAGACCTAGCTTTGTAATAATGATTACAACTGTGTATTGGAAAATTTTTTAAAAAGGTAATTAATACCCTATTCCTATAGTTGAAGAGTTAATTGTGTACTGCTCAGTATATATAAATGTTCACAGATCTTACTGGGGAATCCTTTTTATCACTTATGGTTCTATATGGGATCTCTACTTTTGCCACAAGGTCAATGACATAATAAATCAGTTTTTAGCAAAATCTGAAACTGCATTTAATTTAAAATAATTTTCCTGTCTGCCTGATATGTCTGATCCATTCAAGCCTACTGTAGATAACAGTTTTAATACATTATGTGACTGAGCTTTTTGGACTTTGCTAAAGAATGCACTAAGAGTCTCAGATTTTTAATTGAGGTGACCGTATTTAGTACCACTGAAATAAGTGTGATAACAGCTTGATCATGCAAAGCTTGGCATGAAGACAACACCTGCCTGGTGTTAATAAGATACATGAATTTCAGACAACAGAAAACCAAAGAAAATTAACACTTTGTCTGTCTTGATATAATACCAACAGAGTTCTCATTCGTTCGTGATATTCAAAAGTTTATTTGAATTTCTATGAAATGTGAACAAAAAAAACACGTGGATTGTGGGCTCGTGGCAGGTGAGGGGTTTTAAAATATTGCTGAATCTTTATACATACTATCAGATTTATTAGACAAAATGAAAAAAAAAGAAGGAAAAATAAATATTTTTTTTGTTCTGGATATTCATTAGAACAAACCAGGATGAATGATTTGAGGATGAATTTTAAGTATCTTAATAGGCCTGATTGTATTGGACATTAGTGTAAACGTACATACCCACCTCTCCTCTCAAGGTTCAGTGTCTCAGTAGAAATATGTTGAAAATATCTATCAATTGGCATTTTTATGTATAAGAGAAAACCTTTTACTTCTTTCACAAACCTACTTTCATTATTTAAGAAAATTTAAAAAATCTTAATACAACAGTTATTAAAGGAACAACTTAGTGCAGATTCCATCTTCTGATTATCTCCCCTCAGAGTCTTGAGTCTAAGCTAGGACATTATCAGAGTTTGCACTGGTCACCAAATAGCTTTGACATGGTATTACCTAAATCATTGTGTTATTACGAGCAGAACTGAAAAACCACAACTTCTTTTTTTTCTTGTGAAGGAAGGAAATTCATCCTCCAACAGTTTCAGAGTATCGTTGTTAAAAAAAAAAAAGACTATTCTTGTGTTTGTTGCCAGGTTCGTACAAGATTTACAAAACCCTAATATCATACACACTGAATTTTCAGTGGTTTTTGTTGGCTTGTATCTTTGCCTGTTTGTTTAATATAAATAGAATAAATTCTCTTGTTAGACTGCTTTCTATTTCTAATGGACATGTGTACACATAATTGTTTGGACACAAACTTATGCCTTGTTTCCCCGCTAGTTATTTATTTATTATTTCTTTCTTTTTTTTTTTTTTAAGACAGAGTCTCTTTCTGTTGCCAGGCGCCAGGCTGGAGTACAGTGACACAATCTCAGCTCACTGCAACCTCCGCCTCCCGGGTTCGAGCAATTCTCCTGCCTCAGCCTCCCAAGTAGCTGGGACTATAGGCGTGCGCCACCATGCCCAGCTAATTTATGTATTTTTTTAGTAGAGATGGGGTTTCACCATGTTGGCCAGGATGGTCTCGATCTCCTGACCTTGTGATCCGCCTGCCTCAGCCTCCTAGTAGTTATTTTACATAAAAAAAATCTTAGTACCTACACCAAAAGGTAGTTAATATTCATGCATAGTCAGCATTTAGCTGGCTGTGATAAACTGTCCAAAGAAAGTAAGGACAATTGAAATCCATTGTACTGCAAAATTTCATTCCATATTCTTTGCTTAAACTTATATTATGTCTTACAGTTGGCCATAACTGCTAATAGGCCAACTGAAGATATTTTAATTTTAATTTCTTTCATCCTTCCAAAGATTTTGATAACTTAAAACACTGTATGAATAGTACTTTACAGTTTATAAGCACTTTGACATAAATTGTCACTTTCGATCTTCCCAATATCCTTCTGGGAAAAGAGGTTATAGAATTATGGAAGATTTTATTATTCTCACTTTATATATTAATAAACTGAGAATCAATCATCATGTTCTTAAGGAAATACAGGTAATGAGCTCTAGAAAAGTTAAGAGTCTAGAATTTCAACGTTGGTTGAATGTATTGCATTGCACTGAGAAAATGCATTACCTTTTATCCACAATAATCCCTCCTGTCTCCTTATTGCCCTGTGTCCATGTCATTCTCTCTAAATAGTTTCTGGAACTTTGAATGATTTTCTTCACTTCCTTTACTCCCTTATGCACCCTGTCTTGAATGCCCTTCCTCTCTCAAATACTTAAATCCTGCTCATCTCTCGAGGTCCAGCATAAATAAGTTCCATCCTCTCCAGGAAGTCTTCAGCCCCCACTGTTCTTACTTAACAAATATAGCACTTACAGGAATGTATTCTTAAGTTCTTAAGTGTTTCATTTATGTTCATCTAAATTCTCCTGCCAGATTATAAGCACCTGAAAACAGAGACCAAGTCTTGTACTTCTTTGAAACTCACAACATTCTAGCACTGGATATAGATATAATAAATGCTTGCTAAATATTTGGTGATTGTTTAATCTACCCAATGGAGACAATGCTGAACCATATCCCATCTTCCTTATCTGTATTTCCATCCACGTGGCTTGTGATTTAGCCGGTATAATAATTTACTATAGTAGAGTTCAGTGTGGGTGTTTTCAATATGTTCATACATCAGCTGACCCTAACATTGATTCCTGTCAGTGATGTCCAGTCGTATGACCTAGGAGATCAGATTAACTACAGGTGCCTGATGGATTCCCTGAATAGAGTAAACATTTGGCCCATATATCAGCATTGAGAACAGGAGCAGGAGACATTATGCTGTGACTGCATTTCTATAGAATTACATTAGCATTACACATTCTGCTAGTCATAATTTCTCAGCAGATCAGGGATATCTATCAATGGTATTTCCTGTGTTCTATCATATGATAATGCATTCCATTATTCATTATAAGTGTTGATCAAGCATATTATCCTTACAAACTTAGTTTTTAAGAAAGAAATGTTTACGTGAAAATAACATACTTAACAGTCATTATGTGAAAAATGGATGTCACTGTATGACAGTTTGACTCTTCGGAAACCTAAGTATTTGGTTTAATCAAATAGCTGTTTTTGTTCATATTTTAAGGTGAATTTGGAGAAGTCTGTAGTGGGCGTTTGAAGACACCAGGGAAAAGAGAGATCCCAGTTGCCATTAAAACTTTGAAAGGCGGCCACATGGATCGGCAAAGAAGGGATTTTCTAAGAGAAGCTAGTATCATGGGCCAGTTTGACCATCCAAATATCATTCGCCTGGAAGGTGTTGTCACAAAAAGTAAGTTACTGAGTTTCTTCATTACTTCTTTTACGTACCTGTCTCATTTTTTTAAGAAAAGAAAAAATTTTAATATTAATACCATAGTCATTAAAATAATAACTTAGTTCAGATATCATCTTCTGATTATCTCCCCCTCAGAGTCTTGATCCTAGGCTATGACATTATCAGAGTTTGCACTGGTCACCAAACAGCTTTGACATGGTATTGCCTGTAAATCATTGCTAACATAACTTGAAGTAATGAATCAAGAGTAAAGGGTTATGTATTTTTTTTTGAAATGTCAACATGTTTTTATTATACTTTAAGTTCTGGGGTACATGTGCAGAACGTTCACATTTGTTACATAGGTATACACATGCCATAGAGGTTTGCTGCATCCATCACCCCATCATCTACATTAGGTATTTCTCCTAATGCTATCCCTCCCCTAAACCCACCCCCTGCTATCCCACCCCTAGCCCTCCCACCCCCGACAGGCCCCAGTGTGTGATGTTCCCCTCCACATGTCCATATGTTCTCATTGTTCATCTCCCATTTATGAGTGAGAACATGTGGTGTTTGGTTTTCTGTTCTTGTGTCAGTTTGCTGAGAATTATTGTTTCCAGCTTCATCCATGTTCCTGCAAAGCACATGAACTCATCCGTTTTTATGGCTACATAGTATTCTGTAGTATATATGTGCCACATTTTCTTTATCTAGTCTATCCTTGATGGACATTTGGGTTGGTTCCAAGTCTTTGCTATTGTGAATAGTGCCACCCTCCACTGTTCCTCCCTATTCTCCCCCAACAGGCTCCAGTGTGTGATGCTCCCCTCCCTGTGTCCATGAGTTCTCATTGTTCAACACCCGCCTACGAGTGAGAACATGCAGAGTTTGATTTTCTGTTCTTGTGTCAGTTTGCTGAGAATTATGATTTCCAGATTCATCCATGTCCCTACAAAGGACATGAACTCATCAATTTGTATAGCTGCATAGTATTCCATGGTATATATGTGCCACATTTTCCTTGCGCAGTCCATCATTGATGGGCAATTGGGTTGGTTCCAGGTCTTTGCTATTGTAAACGGTGCTGCAACGAACATACATGTGCATGTGTCTTTATAATAGAACGATTTATAATCCTTTGGGTACATACCCAGTAATGGGACTGCTGGGTCAAATGGAATTTCTATTTCTAGGTCCTTGAGGAATCACCACACTGTCTTCCACAAATGGTTGAACTAATTTACACTCCCACCAACAGTGTAAAAGTGTTCCTATTTCTCCACAGCCTCTCCAGTATCTGTTGTCTCCAGATATTTTAATGATCACCATTCTAACTGGCCTGAGATGGTATCTCAATGTAGTTTTGATTTGCATTTCTCTAATGACCAGTGAAGATGAGCATTTTTTCATATGTTTGTAGGCCCCATAAAGGTCTTCTTTTGAAAACTGTCTGTTCATGAAGGACATGCCCACTTTTGAATGGGTTTGTTTGTTTGTCTTTCTTTTATATCTGTTTTATATCTTGGTAGATTCTGGATATTAGCCCTTTGTCAGATGGGTAAACTGCAAAAATTTTTTCCCAATCTGTTGGTTCCCGATTCACTCTAATGATTGTTTCCTCTGCTGTACAGAAGCTCTGGAGTTTAATTAGATCCCATTTATCTATTTTGGCTTTTGTTGCCAATGCTTTTGGTGTTTTAGTCATGAAGTCCTTGCCTATGCCTCTATCTTGAATGGTTTTTGCCTAGGTTTTCTTCTAGGGTTTTTATGGTGTTAGGCCTTATGTTTAAGTCTTTAATCCATCTGGAGTTAATTTTAGTGTAAGGTGCCAGGAAGGGGTCCAGTTTCTGCTTTCTGCACATGGCTTGCCAGTTTTCCCAACACCATTTATTAAACAGGGAATCCTTTCCCCATTGCTTGTTTTTGTCAGGTTTTTGTCAAAGATCAGATGGTTGTAGATGTGTGGCATTGCCTCAGAGGCCTCTGTTCTGTTCTGTTGGTCTATATCTCTTTTTTGGTATCAGTACAATTCCTCAAGTAAAAATTCTTCTTTCACAGAAATAACAGAAAGAAGTTTATTCCTTTGAAAGGAAATGTCTTTTGAAATCCAAAATTAGCCATAAACTCTAAGAAATTGATTGCTATGTATTCACTTTCATTTGAATAATGACAGGGCATAAAATATGATAATATTTCTCATTCTTGATTCACTAAGGATTGTATATATAAAATCCAATACAGATTTGGCATTTTTAAAATAACTTCAATCCTTGAGAGAGGCATTTTTCTTTCATAAAACTAACATTTATTTTAAAAATCATTTAAAAAATTGAAGCTTTATGTCATATTTGGAAGCAGGAAAGTATAAAAACTTACTAAAGTGATGTCATTGACTCCGTGTCTGAAACTGCTAAGTCCTTCTCACAAGGCATTGTCCAACATGCTACCCAAAATAAGTAGATTACTGACAGCTATGAAAGTTTGTGGCCTTAATGGGGCCTTTCAGCATTCATGACATTGTATAGTTATTTCCCACATTGATTCTGGGCTTTTCTATGTGACAAACCTTGGTCAATGTGACATTAGCAAGTGTGAAGCGAGTGAACGCATCTTACATGTTTGTATGTTGGAGCTTGTCCTCTTGCAGCACACTTTCCTGGAACCCAGTCTCTATGCCTACTGGAGGAAATCCATAAGATGAGGCCACAGGCAGTACTGCACTTTTCAAAAGAAGGCATTTATGAGACCTACAAACATATGAAAAAATGCTCATCATCACTGGTCGTTAGAGAAATGCAAATCAAAACGACATTGAGATACCATCTCAGGCCAGTTAGAATGGCGATCATTAAAAAATCTGAGACAACAGATGCTGGAGAGGAAGTGGAGAAATAGGAATACTTTTACACTGTTGGTGGGAGTGGAAATTAATTCAACCATTTGTGGAAGACAGTGGAAGACAGGTGATTCCTCAAGGACCTAGAAATAGAAATTCCATTTGACCCAGCAATCCCATTACTGGGTATATACCCAAAGGATTATAAATCGTTCTATTATAAAGACACTTGCATGTGCATGTTTATTGTGGGACTATTTACAAAGCAAAGACCTGGAACCAACCCAAATGCCCATTGATGATAGATTGGACAAGGAAAATGTGGCACATATATACCATGGAATACTATGTAGCCATACAAATTGTTGAGTTCGTGTCCTTTGTAGGGACATGGATGAATCTGTAAACCATAATTCTCAGCAAACTGACACAAGAACAGAAAAACAAACACTGCCTGTTCTCACTCATAGGCGGGTGTTGAACAATGAGAACTCATGGACACAGGGAGGGGAGCATCACACACTGGGGTCTGCTGGAAGGGACTAGGGAAGGGACAGCCCGGAGTGAGGAGGTTGGGGAGGGATAACAAGGGAAGAAATGCCAGGTATAGGCAACAGAAATGATGGAGGCAGCAAACCACAATTCTATATATGTACCTATGCAACAATCCTGCATGTTTTGCCCATGTACCCCAGAACCTAAAGTGCAATTATATATATATATATATATATATGAAGAGAACTGAGGTGATCCAGCCAATATACACATCTGAACTCCAAGCAGAATGTCAGCACTGAATGCCAGCCTTGTGAGCGAACCATCTCCGTTGTTACAGCTCCACCACCACTGCTATTAGACAGCTGTAGCTGTGGTCCACATCTTTTGCAGGAAAGGAACCATGCACCTCCATCCCATCAACCCATAAATTTTTAAAGATGATTAAGTTGTTGTTGTTTTAAGCCGCTAAGATTCAGATGGTTTGTTGCACAGAAATAGATAACCAGACAGATGGTCCCCAATTAGAAATCTGCTCCTGCCACTTAAGAATTATGCAGCTATAGGTAAATGATTTAACATCTCTATCCTTTACTTCCACATCTGTAAAATGGGACAGAAACGACCCCTACTCCACAGGAATGCTGTAAGAATTAAATTTGTAAATGTGTAACACATTTAGCACCCTTTGTGCAGCATGGTAAGCCCCATTAAATAGTAGTCATTGTTGGGAATATATGTCCTAGCACTTTATACATATATGTTACCACTTCATTCTCATAGCCACCCTAATTAATATCATCATCTACATTCTAAGGATGAGGAACGGAGGCCCAGGCAGGTTAGCTAACCCACATGAGAACCTTTAACCTATAGTACGTGGCATGACTGATGTTCACAATGAAGTCTGTCTCACTTTAAAGCCCACACTTTTTTCTTCACTTTTACTATATCCCTTTGAATGAGTTTTATACTTTAATTATCTTATTTGAATTGAGCAACATAAATAAATAGCAATATGAATTAAATAACATAATACTGCCTTTCAAAATCGGAAAAATATTCGGGTAGAGTGATATTAATTGCCACTAAAATATAAAATTTGGAAACAGCCAGCTATGTGATAATACCTGGTAAAGATATGACCTAAAAGAGAGAAATAGAGAGAGAGAGAAGAAAGAGATGTCCATTATTTCTTTTGTATGTTCTGACTTCCTTGTTATTAATTTAACATGAACATTTCAAGCTGTTCCTTCTGTTTTATATATTTCTGGCAGGCAAAATATAAAAATATGATGTTAAAGTTGGGTTATGAACCTTTGCACAGCATTTTAAATCACAATTTAAGTATGGTGTTGAAGTTTTCTGTTGTGTGTTTATGCATGAAACATCTGGAAATGAGTGGCCAACCATAAATTAAAAGGTTTAAAAGGTATCATATCTTTATTTTCTCACTTTAATAAATCAAATTACGTCTTTTTCCTGTATTCCTATGTGCTTTATTCACATATTCTCATATGTGAATCACACATCTATCCTGCTCAATCATACACACACACACACACACACACACACACACACACAGACACACACAAATAAAAAGGAAAAAAAAAGATGTATATCCCTGTGAAATAGTGGGAATCATTTATCCTACGTCAACTAAATAGGTTTAATAAGATAT